AAAAAAAAAAAAAAACAGATGAGAAATTCGCCTAATGGAAGCAGAACATAATCCAACAACAAAAATGACCATTCCATGTTCACCACCACTGATTCGGGAAGGAAAATAAAAATAACAAATGCTTCTATGAATTAATGTCAAAAATGCTTCTATAAATTGATGTCACTTTTACGTAAACCTTAAGCCAAAAGCAAGATTTACTAAAACCCTATATAACTTATAAGTAATCACTTAAAACCAAATATATATTCATTTTATTATATAATTTTCTTATTTGGAAATTCGTCCAAGCAACTCTCTTTTTTTCCTCAGGCCAACTAGACCAAAAAACACTGGCTCATCGTATAAGTACTTCCATACTATAGTTACCGTCCTCTTGAACTTGTAAATGAAGCTGCTCTTAATTTCCATTTTATATATTTTTTTGGATAGTAAGAAAAAAGAAAATTAAAAATTAATAATATATCTGGGTTAAAAAAAAATGAAGGAGAGAGGAGGGAAGGGGCCCCCCTACTACTCCCCTCCTCTCTTCTCATTTGAATAAATAAATAAATTAATAATTTATCAATTTAGAGGACAAAATAAAGAGTAATTATTGATTAATAATTACTATATTTTATTTTAAAAATAATGAAATTGATTTTTATTTTAATTGTAACTATCACGTGTCAATTGTTTATTATTTCACTTTAAATTAAAAGTCAAAAAAACATTTTTTTATTTTAAATTTTATATATATTTTTAAAAAATATAACAATTATTATACAATAATTAGACATAGAATAAGTAAATCTATAAATTAAAAAATAAAATAAAGCACTTTCTTTGCATCTCCTCCTTTCAATTTTTTTGATAATCAAATAGAGAAATTGTTTCCCTTCTTCTCTATTTTTTTAATCCAAACATATCAAATATTCTCTTTTATTTTTCATATCTAAAAATTAATCAAGTTTGGAGGAGAAAAATTAAAATGTGCTTAGAGATATAATTGAAATTGAAATTGAAATTTGCTAATAAAGCACTCATTAGGATTGGAGATAATAATTGAAAATTGAAGACTTAAGAAAAGTAAAAATCTCGTTATTGAAAATGTTTTATTTGATGGCAAAATATGGGAAGGCTACCTCACATAAAGGAAAAATAGACTTTTTTTTTTTTTTTTCTAAATCAACGCCACATTAGTGGGGCCTAAAAAGACTGACAGAAAGTTAGATCGAATATTAACGTCTCTTGACCAATGTTTTAAAACTCGACCCAATGATCGACCCGTTTTCATCACCGAGTCTGGTTCAATCGATCGATTTAACCGGTCAATCAAAGAATTGACCTTTTTTTTTTTCAATTTTTTTTACATTTCACAGCTATATACCATTATTACTCTATTTTGAAGACATAATCACTTTAAAAAGGTCTTGAAAATAGAGTAATAATAGAGTTAAAGTTGAATTTCTAATTAGACTAATTAAAATTTTAAAATTAAATGACTAGAATAAATTATTTTCCCCACAATGTAAAAGTGAAGTAATAAAGGAAAAAACATCAAAATAATCTGAAAAGCCAGGTTAGTTTAAACAAAAATTCATTCATGATGTCATATTATATATAAGCTAATTAATTACAGATATTCTACTCCTTTTTCAAGCTAATTAATTATAAATTTTCTTGGCTAATTTCATTTTCAGTATAGATTAAAATTTTAAAAATGAATGGAAAACTTATTTGATAATCCATAAGAGTAGAAATTAAACTACAAGATATATATAATTTTTTATTAAAAAAAGTAAATATTTTTTATATCTAAATTCAAATAATGATGAATTGGTGAAAATAGCAAAAAAGTATCAAGAATACATGAAGCAGTTTCCAATTCATTGTGATGGATTTCGATGTAGAGTAGTTTCCAATCACGGGAGACAGAAGAGGCACGAACAATATCAGATAGATCATCCAAAAATGTCATAATCTTTAGTGACACGTCGTGATTAAGGTAGTTCAAGAAATCCAGAGGAGTTCCCATTCTTACAAACGATGCCTACCAACTCAGTTAAAATTCTTCTTCTAAACTTGAATTCCTGACACAGTATCAAAATTTTGTTTATCAAAAATTCAAAACAAGCAAAGTTTGAACAAATTTTTTTTTAAAAAAAAACCCAAAAAGTAACAGATAAAAAAAAATCATGGGGTATTCAAAATTAAAATAGAAACGCAGCAAAATTACTGAATTCTGCAGAGGAAGAGACTAAAACAACAAATTGGGTAGGAAAAAAGGGAAAAAAAAACACGGGAAGGACAGAGCTTTGGAGAAGGAAAAGGACAAAGGAAGGGAAAGGAATCAAAGTTAAGAATTTTATCACCTCGTTGGAAACCCTAGAGGGAGAGAATCGAGGAATAAAGAAAGGTGATGAGAATGGAGATGCTCACCTTTTCACTGTTCTATACTGTTGTGCTGTGTCCTGTTCTGTGGCCGAGGAAAGGTAAGTTGTGGATTGTGATGGATTTCGATGTAGATTAGTTGATGAGGATGACCGAAGGGTGGATAATCATGGTGGTTGTTGGCTGTTGGCTGTTGTGGTGTGGTGGTGAGTGGTGGTTGCGGACTGTAGAGGAGAGCAACGAACTTGCAGAGGCCGGGGGAGGAGCTGATCTGCGATAGGAACGGAAGAAAATTCAGTTAGGGTTATGAATTTTTTACTTTTGGTTAATTTTTGAATTAAAAAAAGGCTAATAAGGAAATAACGATAAAAAAGAGGAATAAATTAATAAAATGGGTAAAATGTAAAAAACATTAAAAAAAAGTAAACAAGAATTTTCAAAATAGCCCAACCGATTTAGACGGGTTTAACAGGTTTGGTGATTTTGGCGAGTTTAACGGGTTCTACCGGGTCAAAGCGGGTTTTCTTACATAACGAGTTGTAGTATATAACCAGCTTGTTTTTATGCCCGGGTCCGGTTAAATCGGTTGAACCGGACCGGACAGACCGAGTTTTAAAACACTGCTCCTGACATGAACATTGCACGAGGGGAGGGTTCGTATTGTGATATTGTATAAAGATTAATTGAAAAACTTTGATTTAAAATTAAAATTAGGGTTTTAAACTTTTATATTATCAAGTAACAATTTATTCAACATGCAAAGAAAAAAAAAAAACAAAGAAAAAAGAAACAACGATTGATCTGCCACCAAAAAATAGTTTAGGGGGCAGAGACCACACTAAGGGGTATTTGATTGTTAGTTAATTTTATTAGAAATTTTTTTTTGAGAAAATAATTTAAAAAGTATTGTATCAAAAATTAATAGATTTTATAATAAAATTTTATTGAGATTTTATTAAGTTGTTAACTTTTTTGTGTATAGTAAGAAATTAATATAAAAATATTAATAAAAAAAATTAAATAAATCCTACATAAAAAAGTTGAGACAAACTTTATTCTTTTAAAAAGGTGAAAAGGGTGTTTTAACCCATGTATTTTTGGGTACTGTTGAAATCAACCTTGCAACTTTTTTTTTGAAATAACTGAACCCTGCAACTTTCATATTGAAATAAATCAACCAACATACTTTTTGGTTGAAATAAATTAGCCCAAATTTAATATATGACGTCATGAAACATTAGTTTACCGTGAAACCCAATTATTTGCTATTAATACATTGTTGAGTTGGCGCATGTAGGAGTTGATTTAGTGACATGGTGTGATGTGGACGATTTTTTTGCTGGCATGGCCCTTTATTTGCTAATTTGGATTAATTTAATTCCCTAAAACTCACCCACTCCAAAGCTCTAGCCATTCATTGAGACAATCTGGAATAAGGAATGGCTTTAGGTTTAGAGTTTTGTTTAGGGCCAATTAAGGGAAAAATATAAAGCAAGTTGTTTCCATTAAATAAAGAACAAAGAAAGGAGCGTTGCTTTCGAACAAATTGCAGGTTATTTTTAGATTCTCTTATCCAACGAAGTGCTAAGGATTCATGGTAGACCCTAGTGGCGAGATTTCATCAATTGTGTAGTGCAGGACATCAACTCTAGTAGATCAGTCTTTTTTACGATCTTTTGTTGGATTTTTAGTATAGAAAGTTAGGGTTTTGAGAAATAGTGTTTATTTTTGCCATTGTGTTGTCCCTTTCTCCAACATGTTATGATAGGTGTAATAGACTTGTTTAGTGTGATGAATTTTGTATCTTTATTTGCTTTCTTGTTATGTGAGTTTGGCTCATACTTTACATTGAATGTTTTTGTTCTAATATTTTAACAACCAAATGGAAGAATTTTATGGGTTTTTGTAATCAATCATGGGGGTACTTTCAGTTATGACCCACCATTATAATATGTTAATAAGGTCTCGATTACTAAGCTTGTGGATGAGGACAGACTAAATGCATTTGAAATTGCTGATTATGTTGTTTCTTTGGGATAGGAAAAAGTTATGATAAAAAACATATTGTTCAATGCCTCATTAGCTAACATGGATTCCTTGAAATCATTGGTTAGGGATGATAGTGTTAGACAGATTCTTAGAATTTTGAAGAATGAAGGTGAGGTTCATCTATATGTTGATCATGAGCTCAATTTTGCTTATGTAATTGACCCTGTTTTGTCTATTAGTTGGAAAGATGTTGTTGTAAATGGGGGTGGTGGGGTTGGTGTTGTTAATAATAATAATAATGAGGGACCATTTGAAGCTGACATTGGCAATGTCACAATAGAAAGGCAAGGTCTTAATGAGGACAATTTTGACAATTCCCCTAAGGAGTTTGATTCAGAATATGAATCTCAAAGTGATGAAGATTTGGGCAGTCTAGCTAGAACTGATGATGAGGAATATTTGATACATTTACATAGAGCAAGACCTTTGAGGAAAAAGAGAAGGGCTAGATCTGGAGTTGAGAAGAAGGTTCAAACCCCAATACTTAAGCTGCAAGGTGTGTTAATGATGGAAGTAAGGAAATAGCTCCAAAATCAACTCCAACAAGATCAGCTCCAACACCACTAACTTTAACAAAGGTGAAACATGTTACAAGAAAACCTACTTCAACAAGAGTGAAGGGTGTTGCCAGAAAGTTAACAATAACATCTGTTGAGTCAATTGAGTAGCCTTCTGTGGGTGAAGCAACTCTAGTAACTGAGCAACCTTCTATGGGCGGAGCAATTCCAACAACTGAGCAGCTTCATATAGATGCAACAACTTTAGCAATTGAGCCAAGGCCAAAGGGGTAAGCCAAGGAAAATTCCATTAGAGCAACTATCTACTAAGGATAGAGCAAAGTATGAGAAAAAACTTACTGTCATTAGAAGATACAAGACACTAAACATTAACTAAAATAATGTAGACAACCTAGGAAGGTCAATCCTAGGAGATCCGATCACTTCTTCTCAATAGTTACTTGTTGATAATTCAGAATCTTCTGATGACAGTGATGAGAGAGACAACCATTATGAAGACAATAATGATCCTTGCAACTTGTGGACAAGTTCCAGTGATGTTGATGAAGATGAATATCATGTCTGCATTGATTTAGAAGGGGAGGAACCTACAGACATATATTACAACCCTTCATAGGAAATCCACACTTTCAAGTTAGTATGAGATTTAAAGACAATGTTGAGTTTAAGGAGGCCATTAGAAAGTACTCAATTGTGAAGAAATGTGATTTGAAAGTAGTGAAGATTAAACTTGAGAGGCAAAATATCATTATACAAGTTGTAAGTGGCAGATTTCGGCCTTTGTAGACAATAGAGACAATAGCTTTTGAGTAAAAAGTTATTATTGAGAGCACAAGCGTTACAAGACGTGTAAATATGATGTGTACAACATTATACCTTGCAAGATATTTCAAGAAACATATCCATGAGATCCCTTTTTACAAATGCAAGACCATGATGAGGATACCTACAATGAATTAAAAATCAATGTTAAGTTTGATAAGTGTATGAGAGCAAAGTAAATTGTGATCAAGGAACTAGAGGGCAATTTCGTTGAGGAGTATGGTAATGTTGTGGGGTATGCAAGATATTTGGAGTCTATTAATCTAGGAAATAAAGTTAGAGTTGTTGTTGATAGGCCAAGAACTAGTGGTCCTTTAATGTTTTAGGGTACATATGTTTGCCTAAAAGTCTTGAGAGATGGGTGGAAGAATGCTTGCAAACCATTAATTGGGGTTAATGGATGCTTTGTGAAGGGTGTTTGTAAAGGGGTATTGTTATCAGTTGTGGGAAGAGATGGAAATGAGCAAATGTATCCCATTGCCTAGGTTATGGTTGAGTTAGAAAGTGGCAGCTCTCAAAAATGATTCTTTAAGGGCGGATCTAGACTTAGGTGAAGGACACAATCTCTGCATTGTTTCAAACTAGGGCACGATGAGATTTTGATAATGTATTAATCATTTTTTTTTTCATATGATAAAATATTATGATTTATGATTATATTTTTTTGTTGTATTATCATAGGGCCTTTTTAGTGCAAGATGAGGTATTCCCATTTGCATCTCATAAACATTATGCAAGATACATTTACTATAATTGGGGTAAAAGAGAAGAAAATAAAGGTGATAACAAGAAGATAGCATTTTGGAATTGTTTCAGGGCCACATTTGATAAAGAATGGGAATTTCAAATAAATCAGTTAAGGGCAAAAATTGAGCAAGGCTACCAACAATTGATGAGCTTGAATCCATAACATTGGCATAAGGCTTTCTTTGAAGAATTTCCTTTGTGTGTTGTCTCACACATGTCTGAAACGTTTAATTCTTAGATTCTACTAGCAAGGTGCAAGGCAATTATCAGTATGTCAAAATAAATGAGGAATATGCTCATGGATAGGCTTAAAGATAAGAAGTTGAGCATGAGAAGTTGAAACAGTAACATTGCTTTAAGAATTCTACAGAGAATTGAAGAAATGAGGTTGAATGCTTTTGAATGCTGTGTTCAATGGGATGGTGAACATGCTTTCCAGGTGCCTGACTTGAAATTTCAATACACACATGTTGATTTCTATGTGAAGTGGTGTTCATGTAGGTATTGACAGATAAATGGGATTCCTTGCCAACATGTTATTTGTTGTGTGGATTACAAGGGTTTAGAGTTAGAAGACTTTTTTAGTGAGTTTTATAAGAGGGAAAAATATTTAGCTACATATGATACACCTCTTGAATGTTGTCGAGGTGCTAAAATGTGGAATAACTATGATGGGTAAAAGCTACAGCCACCTATGATGAAAGAAGGCCATCTAGGCCTAGGAATAGGAGAAGGAAGCCAAAATGTGGTGAACCATAGAAATTCAAAAAAGGCAAGCTAATTGTCTTATCAAGGCATGGAAGAAAAATACATTGCAAGTTATGTGGTAATGAAGGACATAACAAAGGGGATGCCCTTTTAAGGATAGAAAGGCTACTGGTGGTAATAGTCAAGCCCTTGTTATACTCAGACCTCTATCACACCTTTACCAAATCCAGCTTTTGTAAGCAATTTCAGCAATTTTTATATGAATAAGTTGTTTGCATTTTTATATTAATGATGAACTCTTATGCCTCGTTGAATCTAGGTTGTTGCTAGTGGAAGGAAAAGGAAGAACAATCTAGGCAATCAAAGCAAAAGGCAAACCAAAAGAAGCAAATATGTTGCCCCTGGCCAGTCATCAAATAAAGGGAAGCAGAAGGCATGAGAAGAAAGGAAGAATGAAGAATGATTTTGTTGTTTTTTTTTTTCCTCCTATTTTGTGGTTTATTAACTATTATGTCCATTTTCTTAATAGTCATGTTGACTTAAGGCATGTATGGAATCAGTGTTCATGCTTTTGGTGGTTGTTGAATCAACCATAAACTTTTAAGTTAATTATTAGCTGTATGTATTGATCTTTATTATTTGTGTAGTTTGACTGTGATGTTTAGTGTAAAGTGAACTTATTACTAGACATATGTAAGCATTTGCAATAATGTATACAACTTAGAAAGTTTGTGGAACCAGCACTATTTTAGCAACATCAACTTTTCAGCAGCATTGATTTGAACTATACAAATAAGATAAAGATAGGATAATATTACTGATAGAAACCTAAAAGTGTATGACTCATAAACATAGACATAGTAGACATACAACAATAGAAAAGAGAAAAAACATTTGAAAACCTTGCTCTTTTTTAACAACCAACTTAACAAAGTCATCCAATTTCTCTCCCCGTTCTCTCATACCTTCTTTCAATTCTTGCACTTCACCCCTCACAAATCTTAATTCAACATTTTCCCTACCCTTGAACAACTCATTCCATAATCTTTCGTCAAAAACATCAATTCCTTATTTTCCTCTATAGAAGCTTCACTACTATCCACTCTCCATTTATCTTGTCCTCTTGGCTCTTCCATTTGCTCCAACTTAGTCTTCAAGGGTTCTCTTTCACCCTTCAACTCCAAGATGACTTCAATGGCTTTACTGGACATGGGTTCATCGTGCTACTCTATAAAATTACAAGTCTTCATCAGATCACCTTTGGAATCCTTTTCCAAAGCCATAAATGGGTCGCATAACCAACCTTCGATGAAAAAAGAAAGAAAGAGAAGAAGTAAATTGTCACCCCCAGAACCCAAATCCGAGACGCGACAGACGCCGTGCACTCATGAGACGGGTCCCACAAATGCACAAGGCTCGGAACTTATCACATTCGCACTCTGATACCATCAAAATCTGAAGATCAAATTATAAAATCTCTCTGATATCATAAATCTCCAAATACAAGATCATGATTCATATCTAAAATTTATATCCAATTACGATATGGCTAGCCTTCTAACTCGTCACTTCCCGTAGTTTCCCCATCCTCAGTTTCACTTCCTGAAATGGTGGACAAGGAAAAACTATGAGATAAACTC